CCCATAAAAGCCAGTAGTTCCGTGACATTCCTCGGGGACTTCCACTCCCGTATGGTCTTGATTTTCGCCGGGTCAAATTTAATGCCGTCGCGAGAGATGACGTGTCCCAAAATCTCCAACTCCAGCTTAAAAAACTCGCACCTAGAGCCCTTGGTGATGAGGCAATTCTCTTGCAACCGTTTAAACACTGCGTCCAGGTCGCGGAGATGCTACTACCGTGTCTTCCTAAAAATGAGGATATCGTCCAAGTAGACGATGACGCATTGGTCTAGAAGATCCCGAAAAAACCCTGTTCATGGTTAACTGAAAGGTCGAAGGCGCGTTCGTGAGGCCGAAAGGCATCACCGTGAGTTCGTAACTCCTGTAGCGGGTGCGAAACGCATACTTGTGGCAACAGTCGGCGAAATCTCGGATTTGGTGGTAACCACCGCGTAAGTCGATCTTCAAGAAATAGCGAGCTCCGCGAAGTTGGTCAAGGAGGTCGACGGTGTGTGGGATTGGGTAGTGAGACTTGATGGTCACCCGGTTGAGCACACGATAGTCGATGCACATGCGAAGCCCACCGTCTTTTTTCGGAGTGAAGAGGATCGGTGCTGCGAAGGGAGATGTACTGGCTCAGATGAATCCTTTCTCCAACAGTGCATCAGTTTGACTTAGCAGCTCCTTGAGTTCCGGCTGGGTCAACCGCCACTGTGTCCGAACAGTCGGCTGCGCGCCAGGTTCCAGCTGGATTTTGTGGTCTTCAGGTCTCTCGGGTGGTAGTTCAGGTGGCAGATCGTCAGGGAAGATGTCAGGGTACTGTCGAATCAGCTCCGCTAAATCGGGTGGTACAGTTGCACACAACTTCTCGAAGTCCTTTCCGTCGGTGTCAACCGTCAACTCGCGTAAGCAAATAGCGAACAGTTGTGCGCCCTTGTTGAATTGGCGAGCTATAGTAATAGCTCTGATGCACGGGGCTAGGATGTAGTCATGTGTCCATGCAGGCAGTTTAATTAGCCCCTCGTGCTTGTTGATGCAGCACGATCCCGTTGTCCAGTCGATGACGGGGTTGTGCCGTCGCAGCCAATCACGTCCCAGTAGTACGTCGCAACCATCCAGTGTCGTCGCGAGGAACTTCATGCTGAAGCCGAAATCGTCGCCGCATTCAATCTGAACCGTCCGTGTTTCTTCCAGTATCGCCAGAGGCGTCCTATCCACGAGGTGAGTGTCAATTTCGGGCAGACACCTATCAAGTTGCAGCTTGCATTTTTTTGCTGTCGCCAAGTTGAAGAGGCTATGGCTGGCCCCTCCATCGACGAACATTTTTAAGTTATTTTTTAACACCTTGCCAGCGACCAACACAGGGTGATCCACATGAGTATCCCAGTTATTCGGCCGAGTGCGATTGATTGCATGAATCGGAACCACGACTCAGTGGGGATGGTGGTGTTCGGGCGACGGAGCGCAGTCAGTAAAGGGCCCGCTAATTACTGACTCTTCCCATTTCCTTGCTCCTTCCTGTCGTTCCCCGTCAGCGGCGTTTTCTCGTGGCAGTCGTGCATGAAGTGACCCGTCTTCCCACACCGATAACACGGTCCCTTAGGAGGGCGGTTGGGCGTATGGATGGCGTTGATCGTGGCCCAATGGGTCTGGCCACGAAAGTGGATTCCCTCCCGGGAAGCTGCTCTCGCATACCGCATCAGCGCATCAGTTGACTCCGCCAGCCGTACTGCTTCTAGGAATGATGTCGGGTGGCTCATGCGGACCTCGTATTGAATCTCGTCCAATTGCTCTGCTTCCGACATGTCATCCACTTGGTCGGCGAGGCCCATAAATGACGCTGTCTAGTCTTGGACAGATGCCATCTGCGACCAGGCACGCAGCTTCATGCGAGCTTGCTCCGAGGCAGATACATGCTCGAAGCGATCTCGTAAGGCTGCGTCCTACTTGGTCATTCCGAAGATCGGTTCCGCCACTTGATTAGTCACTGTTGAGGTCCCGTTTGCTGGATGTGTCACACCTGTCGGGGTCCCCGTTTCTAGGGTTCGGCGCCACCACTCAAGCGCTGCACCTCGAAGAAGGGAAACAACATAATTAATACGCGTGGCATCGTCGTTCACACCTGCTGCAGTGAAAAAGACTTCAACACTGAACAGCCACCCCTTTTACTGTAGTCGTCTTTGCCGTAGGATTAAACGGGGGCGGGTTGACGGGTTTGATCTTGATCGTCGTTACTGCAACTGGCGCTGATGTCGCTCGCTGCATGTCTTCCTCTTCGAAGTCACGTGTGAGTGCATCCAACGGGTTGCTCAGCGCTTGACTGTTGCCCTCGCCTTCGTCATCGAGCGACTCATGGCGCACTTCACCTCGCGCTTGGCGTAGCTCGGCGTTTTCTCCACGTAAGGTTGTCACTTCCACCATTAATGACTTCATGCCCTCCTGCATTTCTGCCACTTGCGCCATGAGTCTGTTAACCGCCTCATGATCCATGTGTCTAGCACTGCGTCGGATGGGCAAGCAGGTCTCCGTGGCCTTCAGGTGAAATGGAAAACACGAGCTATCGGAGTCGGGCAGGTTTGAATTAACAAACCTTGCGGCCAACCGTCGTGTAGTCCACTTATACCAGCCATACCCGTGCCACCAATCTACCCTCGAAAAGCGGGATGAACTAGGAAAGTAGCTCTGATTCCAGGTGTTATGAGTTGTAAAGGAGAGTGCGTAGAATAACGAATAACGAGAATGCGATTGAACAGACTGATCATACAATGAAGGCACACGCTAATGTAGTGGCTAGCCTAGCTAGGTGGGAACTTCGGGTGAGTGAGGTTGGGTGCAGGTTTGGCGAAGGGAAACGCTGAAGGTGACGCGAGGAGGCTCGGCATCGTTAATGTCGGCCAAACGTGCAGAGTCCGAAAATCGGGGCTGTACGCGAAGCAGTCAACACTGATAAGGAATTAGGGAAAATTCCTTACACATAGCAGGGAAAATATGCCAAAAGTAACCAACTTGGGACTCGGTAACGTGAATGGTAAAACCAAAAACGCGTACGGCCACTGTATCGGGTTTTTTGACGGGTTTGGTAAGTGGGGTCACAGATTCAGTCACTAACAACAGGTAAAAAATCACGCGAATGGTCACACATATAACTCCCACCAAAAAGACTTGAAACTCAACAAAATTCCCGCTCGCGCCCAACCAATATGCTAATTTCTAAAAAAACTAAAACCCAATCGGAATCGGATGCGGTTTGGGAACGGATCAACCCTAAACACCTGGCGAGTTACGTGTTTAGGGTTGATTCATCCGAAAATGCATCCAGGTTCTTTTGGGGTTTCATTTTGTTTTGGCGGGAGTTTCATATATGACCATTCTCGTTTTAAAAATTTACCACTTGATCGTGACTGATTACGTGAAACGTGTTATCAGTCGCGTGAAAACACCCTTTGCAGTGACCGCACCCTTGATTTTTTTTACCAAATATGTTATCGAGTCCCATGATGGTTACGAATGGCAAATTTTCCCTGCCCAGCATCTTGGTCTACACACATGTACACGGGGAAGAAAGTGTGGAGTAGGATTGGTACTGTACACAGCAACAATGCCAATCAGTGACTTCCATTTGCAGCAAATTTTACAGCGCGGAGAAGGCAAACCCGAGGACGCATGTCAAGAGACGAGCACAGGAAACCAAGGACACCAACCATGTCAAGATGGCGGTCAAGAAGGAATGCTGTACTTTTACCCTATTGGTTTTCGCTGCTAGACTGGTGCTGACGCCTGCAATTTTGCCGAGTTGGCTTGGCTGCGGCTGCCGCCACTCCAGTGTGTGGTTGCTGTGTTACTCACGATGTGTATCCCAGATGTGTACGAAGGATATCGCTTTAATCAAACGCCCCGATGGAATATGACACGGATGTGTACGAACAGTTATTTTGGCGAAGAAAGAAGAGGTAACCAGTTCCACTAGGTTGGAGTAGGTAGGCGGTGGGAGTACATGTGTGTCCGTCCGTACAGTTCGTTACCGTCGAATTTCCCCTCTCGGTACAGTATGTGGTTCTCGAAGTCTACTTTCCGCGACCAATAGAAATACCTTGATTTTTGACTCCTGGTGACTTGATGGCAGGGTGTTTTGACGGGCATCAACAGAACTCGTCGCAACATCAGCAGCTAGCGTCGTAGTTACTGTACTTTACAGGTTAGACAACGGCTTAGGTCAAGCCGAGGCTGCACTGTGTGACAAGGAGAACAGACTCGGCGGAACCCGTCCCGCGAAAGAAAAAAGAAAAATGTAGGGTCGTCGGGGTGGGGGATGGGGGGGGGGGAAGGGGGGAAAGAAGGGTGGGGGGAGGGCGTAGAACCAGGGAGCGACGGTGTACTGCTCTGCTCCGAGCAGCGTCGAGTAGGAGGAAAAACCTTACGAGAGACTAGTACGAGGTATGGGGCGCTGTCTCAACGATGTTCCGTTCCGTTCCGATCGATTCATATCCACTTCCTTACCCGACAAGGACAGTCGGAGTGCTCTCGTGGCACCATTGGTGGCACCACACGAAGAGCATCATGATCATCACCCCAGGGGCGACTCGGAGTCCGAGTCGCAGGACGGCCGAATCGGGTCGCCGAATTCCAACGCCCCTTCCAGTCCACATGAACCACCACGCGTTCACAAACCCAGTCACTCACGGTGTGGCATTGCCGCTACTCGGCTCCGACACTGCGATCACTGCATGCATTACTACAAACACGCAGATCACTGCGACTACCGCTAATTACCACATTACTCCAGTTGTACCTTACCTCGGACACGCATCACTGCTATTACTTCCGACACGCATTACTTCTTACCTCTGGGTGAGGATAGCGAATACGACACTAAAGTTCAGTGGGGCTCGACTTTTCCACCGGCCTCGGGCGACCCTCTATAAGCTTCGACTTTTCCACCGCAACCAGCGCAGTCCCGATCCGTCCATTAGTAGCAGGGCCTGGTCGAGCCGCGGGCCGATTTTGATCGTCGTCGGTATATCATGATGGCGCTAGTTCCGCGAATTGCGCGAAGCCCGCGGCGCGCAGCAGTCGCGTGCATTTTCCTTCTCACCACAGCTCTCTTTTCCAGCGACCACTTCACGCAAACTTCCGCCGCCGCCGCCGCTGCCGCCATTCCCCTTCCCGAGTCGCTCTCTTCTTACGCCAACGTGGCGTTGCTCGACCCACGCCTCGAGCTCTATTGGACCGTCAACGACAGCGACGCGACCATCCGATTGGCGGTTCGAGCTAACACGGCGGGATGGCTCGCTATAGCCATCTCCGAGATAGGCTCCATGGCGGGCTCAGGTACGAAATCATTTGCCTAACATGAGTCTCTACCTGTGGGTCCGCACAGTACTGTGTGTGTGTGTGTGTGTGTGTGTGTGTGTGTGTGTGTGTGTGTGTGTGTGTGTGTTTTGTCACATTTTTTTCAACTCTCTCTCTCTCTCTCAAACTCGGTGAGTCTCGACCCTGTTGGCGTGGGTGGCGGAGAGCGAGGGATGCGTGTACGCAACAGACTGCTTTACCTCTCTCTCTCTCTCTCTCTCTCTCTCTCTCTCTCTCTCTCTCTCTCTCTCTCTCTCTCTCTCTCTCTCTCTCGCTCTCTCTCTCGCTCTCTCTCTCGCTCTCTCTCTCGCTCTCTCTCTCTCTCGCTCTCTCTCTCGCTCTCTCTCTCGCTCTCTCTCTCGCTCTCTCTCTCGCTCTCTCTCTCGTCTCGCTCTCTCTCTCGCTCTCTCTCTCGCTCTCTCTCTCGCTCTCTCTCTCGCTCTCTCTCTCTCTCTCGCTCTCTCTCTCGCTCTCTCTCTCGCTCTCTCTCTCGCTCTCTCTCTCGCTCTCTCTCTCGCTCTCTCTCTCGCTCTCTCTCTCGCTCTCTCTCTCGCTCTCTCTCTCGCTCTCGCTCTCTCTCTCTCTCTCTCTCTCTCTCTCTCGCTCTCTCGCTCTCTTGCTCTCTCTCTCTCTCTCTCTCTCGCTCTCTCTCTCTCTCTCTCGCTCTCTCTCTCGCTCTCTCTCTCTCTCTCTCTCTCTCTCTCTCTCTCTCTCTCTCTCGCTCTCTCTCTCTCGCTCTCTCTCTCGCTCTCTCTCTCGCTCTCTCTCTCTCTCTCTCTCTCTCTCTCTCTCTCTCTCTCTCTCTCTCTCTCTCTCTCTCTCTCTCTCTCTCTCTCTCTCCTCTCTCTCCCTCTCCTTTTTCAAAGCTTTCTGTTTGTGCATATCCGAAACTGTTGATTCAGACGCGCTGGTGGCGTGGGTGGCGGAGAGCGAGGGCCGTGTGTACGCCACCGATCGCTTCATCTTCTTCTCACTCTCTTCTTTCTTTCTCAATACTTTCTTCTGCTTTTTTTTTTTTCCAACCCAGACGCGCTTGTGGCGTGGGTGGCGGAGAATGAGGGCCGTGTGTATGCCACGGATCGCTTCATCTTCAACACCACCTTCACCGGAACCGCACTGGACGACCAACAAGACTGGCACGTGCTGGGCGGCAGTCAGACGACAAACCAATCCACAGGCGACGCGTGGACCACCGTGCACGTGTGGCGCCTACTCGACACGGGCGACTGCAATGACCGACCGATCATTTCCGGGAAGCTTCACAACATAATATGGGCGATGGGTCCCACGGATGAAGTCGGCTATCATAACTCCACGCGAGGGGGAGGCACGCTGGTGCTCGCTCCTGCACCAGACCCCGCCATTCTCGAACCCTCAGCACCGCCCTCAACCGCTTCGCCTTCTGCTGGGTCTAATTCGGATCGAGGGGTCGGGCGGTTAGGGGTGGAGCGGCGGCAAGTGGCAGGGGAGGTGGATGTGCAGGCGGGGTTGCTTAATTTCACTTTCACGGATTACCCCGTCCCCACCGACCGTTCCTCCTATCGCTGCATGGTACGACCTTGCAAGCAATGTGCTAGCCGTGGCGGTAGTGCTGCTACCCCTTTTCCCTTTCTCCTTCCCACCCCCTTTTTGAGACGTCCCAAATCGAACCTTGATTGTCCTGACCCATCCCCACTGACCGTTGCTCCTATCGCTGCATGGTACGGTTTTGCAATGTGCTAGCTGTGATACAAACGTGACACAAAGCCTGGCGTTCCTTTCATCTTGCTGAACCAGACTTGTTGCGTGTGTCTGTGGCACACGTTCCTAGTCGTTTTGGGGGGAAAACGCGTGGCGCTGTGATCTCGGTCGCCCATTCATATGTAGCGTATTGGCGTGGGCGGCAATGTGTGGCCTCGTGTGCAACGTGCGCCCCCATTCACATGCTTGTTGCACGGCAGGTGGTGGGTGGGCGGATGTCCCTTTGGAGAGACTTGTATGAAGTCTCAGAAGTGACAATCACATTCACATGTTCCTCGCATTTCTACTCTCATGGCACGTGATATACGTGCCTTTGCATGGCAGGTGATAGACGTGCCTCTGGGGAGCAAAGAGCACGCGGTGGAGTGGGGTCCGGTCTGGTAATTATCAACACCACCCAAGTCTCTCCTTTGTCTTACCATTCTCACATCACAAGCTTCCCTGCCCGTTCACACGTTCCTTGCACGGCAGGTGGTGGACGTGCCTTTGGAGAGCAAGGAACATGCATTGGAGTGTTGGCCAGTAATCAACACCACCCACGTCTCACTTTTGTGGACACGCACTTGTGGCCATACTCATATTTGAGATTGAAAATCCTCGAAAGTGCAACACAATTATCGGCACATATTCACTGTATTCACATGTATTCACATGTTCCTGGTGTTGCATGGCAGGTGATAGACGTGCCGTTGGAGAGCAAAGAGCATGCAGTGGAGTGGGGCCCAGTGATCAACACCACCAACGTCGCCTCCCTGCACCACTCCTTCCTCTATGGCTGCTCATCGTGAGTCCGTTTTGAGGAGTTTCAAATCATGCAGTGAAGTGGCGTGGGGGTGGAGTTGGGTGGAGTAGAGTGGGAGTGGAGTGGGGGAAACGACAATCAACGTAATCCACGATTCCCTGCACCACCACCCCTTCCTCTATGGGTGCTCGTCGTGGGTCTGTTTCTGAGGCGCCTCAAACACAACACGTGTCTCTGGAGAGCAAGAAACATGCAGTATTCCATTGTCGATGCGAAGCTGTAGTGGTTCAGTTGTCATTCCATTCACTCATCACTTATCAACCCATTCATTGCTCCACTCCACCCTCGTAACTGCATCCAGAATCGGCTCAAGTGCAACTATGACGATTCTTTCACCTCATTTTACCTCCTCCCACCTCTCTCTCCCTTCATTTTCCCAACAGGGAAGATGACCCGGATCTGCTGCCAGCTGGAACGATATTCGACTGTGTGGCGCAGGCCCCTTGCGGCACGTTCGTGGCCGTGTGGGCGTGAGGAGGAGAGGACGCCCTTCGCCTCATCTTCTCTCACCTCTTTCCACCTCTCCTCATCCCTTCCCACCCCTCCCCTCCCAACAGCGAGGAGTACCCCAATCTGCTGCCATCGGGAATGATATTTGACTGTGTAGGGAGGGCTCCTTGCAGCACCTTCGTGGCAGTGTGGGCGTGGGGAGGACGCCCCTTCACCCTCCCCCCCAACATCGGCTACCCCATTGGCCCCGGCTACTTCACCAAGTTCGTGCTGGAGGTGGGTGCATCTCGGTTCAGCGCGGTTCCATGCGGCTCAGTGCAGTTTTATGCGGTTCCGTGCGGTCTAGTGCTGTGCAGGGTGGTGCAGAATGGTGTCACCCCAAAATTTCCTCCAGCGCCTCTGCTTAATCCCTCCCCCTCCCCTTCCCCTCTGTGGCGATCCCTCGAATACACCGCACAAACACCAAGGCTTCCCCTGACATCAGCACCATCATATGAGTCAGCTCAATCACCCCAACATCACCCTCCCCTCCCCCTCCCGTCCCCCTTCACTCCCCTCATCTCCAGATCTCCAGGACTCGTGGTCGTGCTACATAATGAAGTGACTTTTGAGTCGACTCAACGTGAATCCCGAGGGCCGAACCGATATCGTCGACAGCTCAGGCTTATACCTGAAGCTGGCCTCCTCTTGGGATCTCCAGGACGCACACATCATGAAGGTCGGCCTGGTGGACCACACCAACCTCATCCGCGTGCCATTCCCTCTTGCACCTCCCTTCTCCTTCCCCTTCTCCCTCCCCTTTCCCCTCCCGCTCCCCCTCCCGTTCCCGCCCCCCTCTCCCCCTTTCCCCTCCCCCCTTCCCCCTCAGATGCACTACGTGAATCCCGAGGGTCGCACTGACATAATCGACAGCTCAGGCTTATACCTCAAGCTGGCGGCATCGCGGGATCTCCAGGACGCGTCCATCATGAAGGTCGGCCTGGTCGACCACACCAACCTCATCCGCGTGCCGCCCGCCATGCCCTCGTGGACCCTCGCTAATTCCTGCCCGGGGGAGTGCACTGCTGCTGTGTTCAAGAACCAAAGCGTGAAGATCGTGGGATCGATTCTACACGAACACAATATTGGACGCCAGGTGGGACGATACGATTTGAGCAATCGAGTTGTCTTTCACTCGACTCGGATTTTAAGCTCGACAAGGTTGAGTTTAGAGTCGTTCATGTATGCTTATTATATATATACATATTTATGTATTTATTTATGTATACAGGGAAAACTCATTCCCCCTTTCCTTACGGTGCCACCCACCTACCTCCCTACACGAATTTCCTCGTCAGGTGTACACGGAGGTGCCAAGGGAGGACCCTTTGAGGCGCCTCAAAATTCGTTCCACTCCACTCCACTCCAAATTCGTTCCACTCCACTCCACTCCAAATTCGTTCCACTCCACTCCACTCCAAATTCCGCCTCCATGTACAATTTTCTTGTTCAGGTGTACACGGAGGTGCTAAGGGGGGGAAGTGCGGTTGCAACAATCAACCGCATTGACTACTTGTGAGTTTTCTTATCTTCTCCCACTTGTTTTCCTCCTTTACCCCCACCTCCACTTTCGTTCACCCAACTGCCTCCCTCATAGACCACTTGCGAGTGCTTGCTTGCCAACCCTCTTCCTACCATCGCTTTTCTTCCTTTCCTGATTGTCTGCCTTCCTTCCTGATTGTCTACCTCGCTGCCTTCCCAAACCGTGTGCGTGGTGCCAGTGACTATGCATCGCAGCAGACCATGCCGGTACAACCTGAGTTTGAGCTGCTACCAGGAGACGAGATCCGCACCACCTGTGTGTGGGACTCCACCTCCCGCTCCAATGTAAGTATTCAAGGTGCCTCAAAAGTTTGAGGTGACAAGGATTGAGGTGCTTCTGAAAGAGTTTGAGCTGCTACCGGGAGACGAGATCCGCACCGCCTGTGTGTGGGACTCCACCTCCCGCTCCAATGTGTGTACCACCTCTCAAGCCACCTGTTGAAAGTGCATCAAAAGCCATGAGGGCCTCAAGAGCTCCCAAATTCCGCGTTCCGCCCTGTTGCCTCCTGCCTTGCTGCCTTCCTCCTCCTCATTCTCTGCTCCAATCTCTTACCTTCTCTGCCCGTCCCTACAGGTAACGGTGGGAGGGCCAGCAGCTGAGAATGAGATGTGTGTGAACTACCTCGTATACTACTCTGCAACACAGACCCAAGGTGAGCTCTTCCCATGCTTAAAAGGGCCAAGGTAACTCGTCTTCCCATGTGCTTTGATAGGGACCCATCTTGTCTCTGATAAATCTTAGATGTATCCGTGGAGAACGAGTCGTGCATGCTCTACCTCGTGTACTGCTCTGTGTGATAAGTCGAGTTTTGAGTCGACTCAAAACTCGACTTATCACAAACGAGTTGTGCATGCTCTACCTCGTGTACTACTCTGTAATGCAGAGCCAAAGGTGACCCTTCTTTCCGTGTGCTTTAGTAGGGGGGCCATCTTATCTCTGATAGGTGTATCCTCGGAGAACGAGTGGTGCATGCTCTACCTCGTGTACTACTCTGTAACGCAGAGCCAAGGTGACCCTTCTTTCCAATTGCTTTCGCTGATAGAGGCCCCATCTTATCTCTGGTAGAGGTATCCAGGGAGAACGAGACATGTGTGAACTACCTCATGTACTACTCTGTAACGCAGGGCCAAGGTAACCCTTCCTTCTTCCCATGCTTGGAAACGCCAAGGTGACGATGTGTGTGAACTACCTTGTGTGCTATTTTGCAACGCAGAGCCAAGGTAACCCTTCCTTCCATGTGCTTTAATAGGGAACCTTTCTTCCCATTCCTCCCTGTTCCTTCCCTCCCTTTCTCCCCAACCCTTCTTCCTGAGATGTATGCATGCTACACGGTGTGTGGGGCGATGGACAACGACACACTCGCCATCGACCCCAGCCCCCCCAACTCTTCTTCCTTTTCCTCACTGTTTCCCTTCTCCCTTCCACCCATCTCCCTGAAACCAGAGATGCATGCATGCTACACGGTGTGTGGGGCGATGGACAACGACACACTCACCATCGACGCCAGCCCCCCCAACTCTTCTTCCTTTTCCTCACTGTTTCCTCTCTCCCTTCCACCCATCTCCCTGAAACCAGAGATGCATGCATGCTACACGGTGTGTGGGGCGATGGACAACGACACACTCACCATCGACCCCAGCCCCCCCAACTCTTCTTCCTTTTCCTCACTGTTTCCTCTCTCCCTCCCACCCATCTCCCTGAAACCAGAGATGCATGCATGCTACACGGTGTGTGGGGCGATGGACAACGACACACTCGCCATCGACCCCAGCCCCCCCAACTCTTCTTCCTTTTCCTCACTGTTTCCTCTCTCCCTTCCACCCATCTCCCTGAAACCAGAGATGCATGCATGCTACACGGTGTGTGGGGCGATGGACAACGACACACTCACCATCGACCCCAGCCCCCCCAACTCTTCTTCCTTTTCCTCACTGTTTCCTCTCTCCCTTCCACCCATCTCCCTGAAACCAGAGATGCATGCATGCTACACGGTGCGTGGGGCGATGGACAACGACACACTCACCATCGACCCCAGCCCCCCCAACTCTTCTTCCTTTTCCTCACTGTTTCCTCTCTCCCTTCCACCCATCTCCCTGAAACCAGAGATGCATGCATGCTACACGGTGTGTGGGGCGATGGACAACGACACACTCACCATCGACCCCAGCCCCCCCAACTCTTCTTCCTTTTCCTCACTGTTTCCTCTCTCCCTTCCACCCATCTCCCTGAAACCAGAGATGCATGCATGCTACACGGTGTGTGGGGCGATGGACAACGACACACTCACCATCGACCCCAGCCCCCCCAACTCTTCTTCCTTTTCCTCACTGTTTCCTCTCTCCCTTCCACCCATCTCCCTGAAACCAGAGATGCATGCATGCTACACGGTGTGTGGGGCGATGGACAACGATACACTCACCATCGACCCAAGCCGCCTTGACCTCACCACACACTACGTGTGTGGTCCCGGGCACAGCCCCTACATCCCGACCGGCAAATCCTGTGTTATCAGCTACGGTTGCAACGACAATGTCACAGTGCTCTATGGCTGCCCTGATAAGTGAGTGCAAACCACTGCACCCCACTGCACCCCACTCCACCCCACTCCACCGCAATCCACTGCACTCCACCACACCGCTCTCCACCAACAAGCCCTGCATCATCAGCTTTGGCTGCAACGATTCTGTCACGGTCTTCCATGGGTACCCCGATCAGTGAGTGCACTGCACCCCACTTCACTCCACTCTACCGCACTCCAACTCCACTCCACTCCACTCCACTACACTTCTTCCCACCAACCAGCCCTGCATCATCATCTTTGTCTGCAACGATCCTATCATAGTCCTCCTTGGCTGCCCCTCTCACTCAGTGAGTCTTCCCCCTCTTTCCCCTCCCCCCCCTCTATCCCTCCATCCCACCCACCCACAACCCACTGCAGGACCAAGGTCTCTCTCTCAACCATTCCAATCGATGACATTTCAACACCGCTCCAACCCGGCAGCACTCTCTCCCCTTCTTCCCTTGCCAATAATGCTGCTTCCACTGCAAATGCCAATGAAGATCTCTCCACCGCCAATACCAATGCTCTTGCTTCCGCCGTCAATGCCACTGCTGTTGCTTCCCCCGCCAAGACCAGTGCCAAGGCTGCCCCAGCAGCAGCAGCTGGCAATTCTCTCACATTGATGCTTATGATTTGCTCCTTAATTGCCACATTTGTTTTCTAATGGTCACTGCTGGGGGAATTTACCTACCGTCATCGCCCGGATAGTAGACATATATGTCTTATCTCGTACACTACTAAAAAATGATTGGGTTATCTTGTATTTGGGATGGTTTGGGGTGTCTTATAAGTCTTATAAATGGAAAAAAATATATGTGTCAAACATATACTGTCATACCCCGGATATACCCCCATGGGGGGCACTAATAAAACATGTTTTTTTTAGGGGGTGGGCTTATCATATAGTAAAATTATAAGCGCCGGCGTTTATGTTATGTCAAAAATGAAATTTGTTTTTTAATATACCAAATCGAAGCATTCTCAAAGGCGGATTCACCTGAGTCGAGAACGTTCGACTCTGTGCATGCTTTGCGCGTGAAACGGCCAACAAGGCGTGGCATCACGCCTTCCACGCCTTGTTGGCCAGGCCAGGTTCATCGAACGCGAACCTGGCCCATGCCAGGGCACACGTACTTCGCATCACAGCGGCCCAATCAGGGTTGCATGCGATCGTGGGCACGTCGTGGTTCAGCCACGACGTGCCCATCAACAGCAAGATTCCCTGCCACCGAGGCAAAGAGCAGTCCCTTTCAGCTCCTCTGCGGGGAATCTTGACTGTGGCCACACTTTCCCCGCAGAGGAGGCCGGGCCGCGAAACTGAAGGGGTCTCGGGCGAGGGCTTCATACGGCCCTCATTCCCAACTTTTGGTTCAGTTTTCTTCGTTCGTTTGGCCTGCCGTGGCCATGGCGGGCCTTCCAGGCACGCATTTCTTGTTCCGCCGCCAACCTGCTGCTAGAGAAAATACCCGCAGAGACACTCGTGACTACTCTCAATGGCAGACGCGCCCTGCGCGCGTCCCTCCACCACAACCAGTAGTGCCTCCCGTTCCTCCCACGCCTCCTACGCCTCCTACCCCTCCCACTCCCCCAGCGCCTCCTGTTCCTCCCGTTCCTCCGGCCCCTCCCGTCCCGCCTGCTGTTGGTGTTCCGCGACAGGGGGTTCTGCAGCTTCTCCTCCCCCCTGGCTACTCGGCGTTCGACGCCTTCCTGTCCGAGCCTGAACGCAGCGGCGGCGAAGGATCTTCCTCCGCACCGGAGCCACGATGGGGAGCGCCAGCTGATTGCCCGTTGGACGAATCCGCTACCGGTGCGGACGACGACGTGGAGTTCTGGGCTGCTGACGGTCTCCCCGAGCACCTTCCAATTCCCTCCTTTCCCCCTCCGAATAAAAAAAGGCCCCACCCATCTCGCGATAATCGTGATGCCCGTCCTCCCTCCCCCAGGCACAAGCCGACAAAGCACAGGCGCAATTCCTACACCTCGCATGAGAAGCTGCAATGGATTCTGAAGCTCGAAGCCGGAGAGATGAGTGTGCGGCGCATGTCTCGCGAATCCGGCATCTCCCGAAGGTGCCTCACGGAGTGGAAGAACCGCAAGGGTGAGCTTGAGGGCGCGCACGGTGCACGCTGTCGCCTGCACGGCCGCGGAAGGAGCTCGTGGTATCGCGACATGGAAGCGGAGGTGTATCGGAGGTTTCTCGCCCACCGCAAGAAGTGCCTCGCCGTCTCGATCGCACGACTGCAGAAGTGGTCGCACGAGGTGATGAAAGAGTTACACCCAGGTGAAAAGTGGGCCGGCTCTCAGCGGTGGACTCAGCGCTTTCGCCGTCGCTGGAACCTGACGACTAGAGCGAAGACCCGGGTCGGCCAGAAGCTCTCGTCCAGTGAGTTGTTATTTGGTGGTATTGTTGTTTGTCCGTTCCCGTCTATTCACGGCTCTCAGTCTGTGTTTGTGCTTTCTGTTCCTCCCATCCCGTGTCCCAGACTGCGAGACTGATGTCAAGAACTTCTGGACGTACGTGCGTCACTCCCGCCGGCAGTACAAGATCGACCTGCCGTGGATTCTAAACGCGGACCAGACGCCCCTCTGGCTCGAGATGCCATCCGAACGCACCGTTGAAGAGGTTGGCTCGCGCTCCGTGCCCGTCCGTAGCGGCGGCTACCAGAAAGAGCGGGTTACAGTGATGCTCGCCTGCACCGCCAGCGGGGAGAAGTTGAAGCCTTGGGTCTTCTTCAAAAGGAAGACTGTCCCCAAAGGAGATTTCCCTTCAGGTATGCACCACACGTCGATTATGCGGTGGCATGTCGATGTCAGTTAAAAATTTTAACTAACATCGTGGTTTTGTTGCTGTGCAGATATCCACGTGGGGGTCCATCCCAACGGGTGGATGGACGCGGACGGTGTCATCGAGTGGCTGGACGGGGCGGTGAAGCCGTACATCAACCCCAAGTTCGGAGTCCGCCCCCGCAAAGCTCTGCTCGTCCTCGATTCGTACCGCGGGCACCTGACCCCGGAGGTGAAGAAGAAGTTTGGCGAGCTGAACCTGGTCCCTGCGGTTATCCCTGCTGGCTGCACCTCGGAGATTCAACCCCTCGACGTCGCGGTTAACCGCTCCTTCAAGGCCGCCGTTCGCCAGCTCTACCAGGAGTGGTTTGAGCGTGAGGGGGTCGACACCTTGACGAAGAAAGGTGAGAGGTGCAGCTCTTCTGTTTATGTTTTTATTTCTTTAACCCGTGGTGACCCGGTTTCTGGATTTGCGTGGCAGGCAACATCAAGAAGCCTCCTGTCGAGCTGACGCTCATGTGGATCTCGGCGGCCTGGAAGTCCGTGCCCAAAAAGCTCATTCAACGGGCGTTCCTCACCTGCGGCATCAGCAACGCCCTGGATGGGTCCCAGGACAAGCTCTGCCTGCAACACAGGCGAGACGAGCTCGAGGGCGAGGAGGTCGACATGGATGATGAAATTGCAGCACACGGTTTCTTCTGCAACAACGTAGAGGAACCTGAGTCGGACTCTGAGGCCGACCCAGATGACCCCACTGCAGCTGATGATTAGAGTAGGGTAGATTAACTAGTGTAGAAAATGGTGAAGCCTGTGTGAGGCTCGTAGGTAGGAGTTGTGAGAATAATGAGAGGAATGAATGAACTAGGAAGCAGGTGGGTACAAGTAGGAAGCCTAAAAATGTTGTACCCTATAAGAACTACCCCACTACAGCCTAAACAGACTATAGCATATATAAGTTTGACACACCCCCATAGGCAAAGTGGGGGAGAACAAGGGGTCACAAGACCAGTCAAGAAGGCAAAGCAAGCTCAGGGTGGATCACAAAGTCACCACGCAGTCTGAGCACAAGCAAAGGGCCACAAGGCCAGTTCATATGCAGAGTTATATAAAGGAAAGCAAACAATACAGTGAACACAACCTAGCAAGTGTAAGCATGCAGGTATAAGTATATAGAGTACAGTACAAGCAGAGTCAAGAAGTCAGCAAGTGAGGCACAGTAGGTACAAGGCCTAGAACAGTACAGAAACGCTGATGATCACAAGGCTGAAGTGCCTTGGTGAAAACATCAGCAGTGTTGGCCTGTGAGGCCACGTAAGCAAGACGAAGCTGGCCACGCTGCTGCAACTCTCGAGCAAGGAAGTAGCGCAGAGCAATGTGCTTCGTTCTGTGCTCCAGTCTGTGCTCCTGACACAAGGCCAATATGGCCTTATTGTCAACGTACAGAACTGGAGGAGAACGAGGCGCCTCTCCCAAGTCGGTCAGCAGGTAGGTGAGCCAGCGTAGCTCCTATGCAGCCATGGCCCCAGCGTAGATCTCAGCCTCACAACTGGAGCTGAGAACAGAAGAAGAGCGGGTAGACCGCCAAGAGACAGAACCGGAGCCAAGACTGAAGGTGTAACCCTGTGACGACCGCTGCGCAGCCAAGTCGTCAACCCAAGAGGTGTCAGCGTGACCAGTGAGAACAACTCGAGCCCGTCCTCCAAGCACGAGCCCCATGCCCGATGTACTGCACAAGTAGCGCAACACCCTCTTCGCAGCATCCCAGTGCACCTTTCGGTGCCTACCGGGAGCCACGTAGCGAGCCAGAAGGCTGAGAGGGTATGCGAGGTCAGGTCGTGTGCAAGTCATCAGGTACATGAGGCAGCCTACAAGCTCTGGATACGGGCCACTCGGCTCTACGGACTCGTCCGAAGGTGGAGCTGAGAGCGAGTGACCGGTAGGCAGAGGAGTGGACTGTGGCGAGGAGTACGTGAAGCCGAAGCGCTGAAGGACCTGCTGCACCATGTGTGACTGAGTCAAGGTAATGGTGCGCTGTGCTCTGTCCCGGGTGATCCGCAAGCCAAGATAGCTTGTCAGCTCCCCCAGGTCGGTGCACGTGTGTCTCTTCTGTAGCTCGGACTTCACGTGGGCGAGTGCCTCAGTGCCAGCAGTAGCAAAGACAAGGTCGTCTACGTACACGAGAACGTAGAACGGCGGCAGAGTGGTGTCAGTGCGTAGAAACAGAGAAGGGTCAGCAGTGGAAGGAGCAAAACCAAGAGTAGCAAGAGTGGTCCACAGTGTGTCGTGCCACTCACGGGATGCCTGGCGGAGACCGTAGGCTGGCCGGCAGAGGCTCCACTGGGTACCAGCAGGAAACGACCCAGTGAAGCCAGGTGGGCGGCGCAGCCAGATCTCCTCGTGCAGGCTGCCTTGTAGGAAGGCTGTGCTGAAGTCAAGCGAGTAGAGCTCGTAGTCACGGTGAGCAGCTACGTGCAGCAGTACCCGAAGAGTGGTCATCTTCGGGGTAGGGGAGAAGGTCTGGAAGAAGTCAACTCCCTGTCGCTGACTGAAGCCATGTGCAACGTAACGCGCCTTGAAGACAGGCGGAGAACCCGGCGGCCGCTTCACCCTGAAGATCCACATGCCACTGACGATGTTCGCCCCAGGTGGGGGAACCTCGTCGACGTAGGTGCCTGTGGACTTCCAGGAAGCCATCTCGGCGTCCATGGCTGCCTGCCACTGAGAGGAGTAGGGACCCTCTATCGCCTCTGTGTAGGAGCGCGGGGTCGGGATGTCTAGTGCATCCGGGTCTCCCTCAGGGGCAAGCAGCATGGACACGAGATGAGGTACAGCAGCGGCAAAGCACTCAAAATCCTCCTGTCTGTCCTCAAGAACGTCCGT